CTATATATATGATAAACTGGTACACACAGTCAAGAAACCAAACACTATGGATACAGTCTCATCATATTCTTCCTTCTATTCCTGATGTGAGACCTAATATTTGGCCACTGGAAAACCATATTGCTTGTTGTCACCTGTTTTTTCACATAATTCCCACAACAGAAGAGCAGCATTGCTGAGAAGGATTTGAAGCCAAGGTTTGCTGCAAGGACAGGAGCTTGAGGATAAGCTGTTCTGAGAAATAAGCCATTCAGTGGAGAGCAGCAAAGCCCAGCACATAAGCAACCCTTAATATTGCACTGTTAGGTGCTCATCATGCCTGGTGGGCCTTGGAGAGCAGTAATGTCTTCTGCTGGGAGAGTGGGATGCCATTGAAACCCATCACGTTGAAGGAATATACAGGCCAGTACAAAGGCCACTGAAGAAAAGAGCAGAGGGTACAGCCAAACGCCTTTCCCAGCACCCAGACAGGCAGCAAGACTCTCACTGACCTATACAGAGAAGAATTAAGTCTTTGTGGTGGCTGGAGCTCTGGGTGATGACTGGAAATCATTTATATCTAGTTACCAAAAAGAGTTAATATCCGGATATCTAAAAGCACCTCTACTCAAAGACAGCTCTCACCACCTCTTCTTCCTCCATACCAGACTGACATTTCCTCTTGGAGGTTATTCTTGCTACCAAACACAGGCCACTGAGGAAACAGAATACAACTGTGCACTCAGCATGAAATCACACCTTTTTCAGACCCATACGATGCAGCTTTTTGTTAACACATGTGGCATTTGGTCTCCAGTGCCACAGCTTGCTGCAAAATAAACATGCAAGTTTAAAGAAGTATGTGCAGAATGCTAAAGGAAACAATTTAAGTCTCAGGAAAACATGTGATAGAAGAAATTCTGACATCTGTGTGGCACATGGGGATTGTAGTATTGAGCAGAGGATACCCTGAAAACAGATCCATAATGTTTTCCTGTTTTATTTAGTCAGAAGAAATTCTGACATCTGTGTGGCACACGGGGATTGTAGTATTGAGCAGAAGATACCCTGAAACCAGATCCATAATGTTTTCCTGTTTTATTTAGTCCATGGAAGATGTGGATGCAACCAGTTATTTCTACTATTATGGACAGAAACCCAGGTAAAAATCATGAACATGGAAAAAAATGAATTAAATGACAGATTTTATACTGTCTACCTGAAGAGCTTAAATAATGAATGTCCATTTTCTCTTTTAGTAGAGAACTTCTATATAATATGAAGAACAGTTTTAAGCAAGCTGCTGTTCTTCTGAAGACCCTCCAGCTAGGACTCCAACCAGTTTTCATTGAAACTCCTCAAAATCCAGGGGCCACAGTGCAATATGACACTTCCCTACTCAGTAAAGGATCGATACACAGAGGATGCAGCTCGGTCTCTCTCAGAGCAGGCCGCTATGTACTTCCATAGCTCCTTGATCCACAGGGCAGGCACATAAACTGTCTTCACTGACAGCTGTCAGGCACAGGTTAGGAAACACAGGGAGAGGAGTAACCCGGGAAAAGATATGACCAGGAGAGAACCAAAGGTTCTACCTTGACATGAACTACATATACCCTTCTGTTCACAGGTCCCAACACGCTTATCACCCAGTTAATGACCTTGAAACTTGTCACTTCCAAATATAACCTGCATGTAACAGCAATTAAAGACATTCCACAGATACTCCAATCACAGCAGTTCTTTCATGGGTAGTCCAAGAGCAGTGCAGGAGAGCATGTGCCAAATCCTTGTTTAGTCAAGAGACAGGCTTCACCTACCCATATTACATAGCCAGTAAAGAGACTGGGGGGTATTCAGTGAGCAAAGGGGGAAGCAAAGCTACAGAGCCCCCTGAGTCTCTCAGACACTATGGTAACACGTGTCACAAAAGCACACAGCCCAGCTGGGTTACCTGGGACAGAAGGTGCCTTCCTCTTGAAAAGGAGAAACTCTGCACCGACTTTGACATGCTCAAATTCAGAAGAGTAGAACATACAGAACTAGGCATCTGCAACTGAACTGGAAGGAATATGGTAACATAACCCATAGGGTAAGAGTACGCTTACAGTAACTCAGGTACTGGCTTGCAAAAGGCATAGAGAACAGAAGAATCTGAACACCTGATCTAAGAAGATATTTGGTTTAATTGCAAAATGACCCAAGTTTAAAAATGTTGAAAGTTTAAAAACCAAGCACATAATTCACAGAATGTACTAATAGTAGCTAACACACACAAACAGTGATATTGAAGGCAGCTTGCGCCTCTGTTAAATACACAGGCATCAAAACCATCCATGCACTATTTTGTATATTGCTGTTTCTAGAAACATATTTGCCTAGTTCCTTTTACACAAGAGAAAATACTTCTCTTACTACTGGGTAACATATGCTCCCAGGTACTATTTTTTCTTCATTTTATACCTGTGTGCACTCAGTAATGTTACTTTGGGTAACTTCAGCATTTCTTGTCTACACCCCATAAATGACATTGTACAATGGCATTTTTAAACAAGCACTGTTTAAAACCAAGTCAGGGTTTGGGGTTTCATTTCTTTGCTGTCTCACCTCACAGGAACACCACACAAAGTGATGCAGAACACAGGATAGCTTCACACTTCTAAGGTGTAGACTGACCATCATTACCCTTGAGATGCTGAGAGCAGAATCTCACAGCACTGCTGTCCTTACCCGAGCTGCTGGCATTTATTGCCCACTGTTCAAAGATAACCCAGAAGAAAAAAATGCAGGAGCAGTTCTAGCCTCCCCAGTTAGAGCTGACTGCACGACAGCCTCACACCTAAGCTTCCCGGGCTATCAGGGCAGCCAGGGATCACAGTGTAAGTAGATGCTCCATGCTGCTTTGAAGCTGCTGTAATTAAATAGGAAACCCGAAATGAACAAAAAGCCCAGCAGTGCAGAAAGGCTGATGCACCATGTGGTTAATCCTCCTGAGTCAACAACAACCTGCTTCCTTGGTCTCAAGACTCAGCTATCTGATGTAATTGGTTTTAAGAACAGAGAATGCAAGATAACTGGGGGGAGTGTTTGGCTATGCACAAGAACTGGTGTAGAAGCATGGGAAGATCCATAAGGATCAATGGAAAAAAACCCAAAATCATTACCAGTATCCTTACTCCCATATCAGTGGCTCTCTAAAGCAAGTGGCCTTTCACTGGTTTGAGTCCAAGACCTGTATAATCATTGTGATAAAACCTACAGAGAACACGTTGTAAGAAGTGCCAAATTCTGCCTCAATCTCACTTGCTGTGTATTCTAAACACCTGCTTTCACTGCTAAGACGACAAAGCTCCTTGAACACTGCTCTCCTAAAAGCAGGGATCCCACAGAGGACTTAATTCAAATGATCATATTTTAATGAGACAGTTTTAGAGTCCAAACTTATTTTAACACTGTCTTTCATTACCTCTTGCTTTGAGGCATTTTAGCCTTTTCTAATCATTTGTTCAAAATGCATTCCAATTGATTTCAAATAAATAAATACACAGCCTCCTTAGCTACTGCCCGGAAAGCAACTTCACACACACATACCCTCCTTTAAATATCAACACTGGCAGCCTTGAAGGGGAGGAGAAATATGCCAGTAACACTAAAGCCAGAATGTGTTGTCCCTAATTCTGCAGCCTTGCCTGCCTTACCTAGTGGCCAGCTTTCTGTCAGACATACAGACAACAACTAGGAGCTAACAGATTTAATTCATCAATTCACTGACATTTAGAATAGGGGACGAAAACTCAGAATCCACTTTCTATACAGTGACTGAGGAGGGGCAGAATAAACCATGGAGGCAAACCTCTCACTTTCTGCTCTCCATCTGCTCTTGCTCTTCTTTATATACATATATAAAAAATACACCACCATATATTGTGTATACGTACACAGAGTGCACACATTGCCCTCTGCTGACCAGAATCCAACACACAAGTGTCCTCCAACACACACTGCTCATCATACATGATCTGCAATGAATGCTTGCCAGGACCATACCAGTGTTGGTATCAACTCCTGGTACTTGCTGGTACTGTAAGAGACAGCTTCTATTCAGCAATTACCAAGGCTTTTTCAGGATGCAATTTTAAGACCTGGGGTTTCTCTGCTTTTGTTCCTCCTACCTGGTGATACAAATAGAAGCTCTTCCCTGGGAGGGTGCTGAGGCGCTGGCACAGGGTGCCCAGAGAAGCTGTGGCTGCACCATCCCTGGCAGTGTTCAAGGCCAGGTTGGACACAGGGGCTTGGAGCAACCTGCTCTAGTGTGAGGTGTCCCTGCCCGTGGCAGGGGGTTGGGACTGGATGAGCTTAAGGTCCCTTCCAACACAAACCAGTCTGTGATAGCAGGGAGGGGAAATCAAACTAACCACATACAACAGTTGCTCATGGGTTAACCTACACCTACCCAACACCCAAAGCTCTTGCCCTTTTAGGTTACGTTTATCAGTGTTCATTTTTTTCCCCATCACAGTTCGGCATTTCAATGAAACACCAGAGAGGTGGGAGGGGACAGAAGTGGGGGAAGTGAAGCAGGAAAACAGAGCAATTCCTTCTCCCTGCTCTTTTCATGAGCGCTGTCATTTTACCTTTCAATATGAATACAAAATTGAAGCATCAAACAGGAGATCAATAAACACTTCAGTTCTTAACATCTCCCCTCCTCCATCCCCATACCAAAACTCTTCTAAGTAACCAGTTCTATGGAAAACCACTTTAGACCAAAGTTTAGACACACAATTTAGACTGGGAAAAAACACAGAATGGTTTTTAATTTAGGAAGCAGCTCAGTCAGTTTAACTGTAAGCTTCTTAGAGGACCTACATGCTACATGAAGTCCACAGACCACCCTTCTGACAGTGAGGCCATAATGTACTATTCCTAAGTACCTACAGAGGGACACAACAGAGAAGTAGACTGGGGTTCTTGAAGTGGAGGGGGAGAAAGAAGATTTTTGCTGTTGTTTCTATACTCACCCAAGGCCCAGTATGATGCAGCTTCCAAAGGAGAAGCACTGCTGTAGAGAGCATGGATGTACATGAGGTGAATCATCAGCTCAGCCAGGCACCACCAAAAGAAAATACGCATTATGCCCACCATCAAGATCCTAAGATTGGTCTTCAAACTGAAGGCTTCTTGGCTCCTCATCTGAAGAAGAAACCCAAACAGGTGATATGGCACAAAACTGTCGTACTCACACACCAATCCCTAAGAACTTCTTTAAATCTCATTTGCTATTACTAAGGGGACCATTTGACTATGCCATTTGGAAACTGCTGACCTGCTCTGGAGGGAGACTGGCCTCTCCATTCTCAATCTCAGTAAGCAGCAGGAACCAACAAGCGATCACACATGACCATACACTGCACCAAACCGTTGTAGGAAAGGCCAAGTGCTGTTAACCTGAATAGGATCCAGACATGAGACACTTTTAATTCCTGTGACTTGATCAATCTCAAGAGATAATCAAAAGAAGTTTAAAGAAACCACAGCTATGAAGGAGAAGGTTTTCCAAGCAGCAGCCCTACCAAACTCAAACAATAACTGCTTGCTCTTAAAGTACCTCCAACTTCTACTTACTACATGGGATTGATTATTTCAGGACAGTTCCTCATTTTTCTACTGTAGCATTGCCAAGGTCAGCCAGACCTACATGATGTGCTGAGCAAATGGCAGTTAACTGCAAGTTAAATATCAGGTAAGACAAGGTTTGCTGCTGGCAGGTTTCTCAAGATGTCCCAAACTATAGTAAACACACTGACATACTATTATTTTAGCCTCCTTCCTCAATAAAAAAAATATGATCAAACAACAGAACATAGGACTGCCTAAAAATTTAGTCATGTTTTGTACATCTATTATTTTGTGTTCCCACTCATCCACTTTATCCCAGTGACGGTGGCTATAGACATCATAGAATGGTTTGAGCTGGAAACGACCTTAAGATCATCCAATGTCCTATGAGCAGGGACACCTCACACTAGAGCAGGTTGCTCCAAGCCCCTGTGTCCAACCTGGCCTTGAACACTGCCAGGGATGGGGCAGCCACAGCTTCTCTGGGCACCCTGTGCCAGCACCTCAGCACCCTCACAGGGAAGAGCTTCTGCCTTAGATCTAACCTGAACTTCCCCTGGTTCAGTTTGAACCCATCACCCCTTGTCCTGTCGCTCCAGTCCCTGATGCAGAGTCCCTCTGCAGCATCCTTGTAGCCCCCTTCAGACACTGGAAGCTGCTCTGAGGTCTCCACGCAGCTTCTCTTCTCCAGGCTGAACAGCCCCAATGTTCTCAGCCTCTCTTCATACAGGAGGTCACACATCACAGGTGGTGATTCCACTTCCCACTCAAGTGTGCAAGAAAACCAGGAAAACATAAAACATGGAAATGTGAGGTTTTCCCTTGTCATGTAGAATTAGGCTTGAAAAGCAGCCTGCAAGGCACTAGGAAACCTAAGATAGGTAGGTCTCTCACATTTTAACAAGCAGAGCAGCTCCTTTAGTCTGAAGAAAAGCATTCCAAGCAATCATCAGCTGTTTTCACACCAACAAGAGGGGAAACTCAGGAACTCCCAATACAAACCAGCAGCTTTCTGTGACTCTGAAATCTGTCTCAGAGTTAACAGCCAGCTGCTGCCGACAATGTTACTTTCTTCTGCCTAATGGAGGAGAGGCAAACAAAAATCCAGCCCAGCAGCTGCGAGCTACAATTATGAGCATTTGGAGACTGTAGCAACATGTGTCACTGGGTTCCTGCTTGAAGGGATAAATCTGGTGTCAGACAAAAAAAACATCCTGTAAAGTAGGAGAACCTGGGGAGGAAGGTTTGTCCTCAAGCTGATATCCAGGCCATGGTTGAATTCCCAATGCTACACAAAAAATTGTCTTCACATTCCTAGAACATGATTTTGTATTTTCAGAATGATGTTGAAGACAGCTTTAGACACCCAAACAACTCTTAACCCCCAAGGAGTCCAAGTAAAAATGGAAATCTTTCAAGCCATCAGTAAGGAGGAAAACTATTACAGAAGCAGTTAGAGATGTTTTCACTGAAGTCAAAACATGCACGAGTGAAAACTCCTTTTCTGGAGGTTTTTTCTTTTTTCAAAGTACCTCATTGCGGGAAAAATGTTTCAGACAGAAATAGATATCACAGTCTGATAGGGAAAATGAATCATCCAGCCATGAAAAGCTACTTTGCTTTCCTTCCACCTTCTCTAACACTGGAGTCTAACAAACTCCTCTCCAACCAAGCACTAGATATAAACCCTTTTGACAATGTTGACAAAATATGTTAGTTACCAGCCCAATGTGAGTTCATTGGGCCATGGCTGACATGCAAGCATGAATACCCAAGACTGGTTTCATAACTACAGCCTTCCTTTTTGCATGCAGCATACTTCAACACTTAAAGACAAAAGGACAATAGATAAAGAGCAACATTAGGAACACCTTCTGTTTGAAAGCCTCATCTGCATCAATTTTTGTCAAGTAGGAAATTAGAAAATAAACAGAAACTCAGACTTACCAGTAAACTATGTTATGAAACATACCATTAAAAGAGCATTCAAAGAAAACTAGATGAAACTGTCTACCTAACATTCTCATGATTGGTATGAAAATCTCTTAAGATCCATCTATCATCCTTTAATCTATTCCTCAAAGCATGGGGTCTGTGTCTAGATTTGGCAGCTGAAAAGAGATCACTATCCACTTCAACAGTTCTTCACTTGAGACACAGAGGCACTGAAAATTAGTAACTGTGATCTTAAAAAGCTCTGTTACCTGCTTACTGAATTCATCAAAATTCAGAAGGGGTCCATTGTGGAAGGTGGGATAATAGAAGACATATGCCAGCATCCAGAGGAACGAGTGGGATGACTTCTGGGTAGCTCCATGCCAGCAGTACTCCAGGCTGAAGCTGGTGCAGAAGAGGCAGCGGACAGACACGGTGAAGAGCAGCAGGTAATACTCATTCTCAGTGTCGTACCACTTCCTCTGCAATACAAAATAAAGCCAAACATGATGGTGCAATTCTGTGATTTCTGTATGGCCGGATAGCAATGTCCACCCAGATCCTCACTTTCAGGGTCACCAGCAGCAGGAAGCAACTAAATCTAACAGCAGCTGGCGCGAGCAAATGATGTGAGCATTAACACATGGACAAGCAGCACTGTCCATGGAGATGGAGTTTATGGAGAAAGGGCCTCTACAGCTACTGCAACCAGCACAAAGAGCCAACAGCTTCATTCCAGTAACATATTAGGTTGTGAACAACTATGACAGCAGGAGACCTATTCTTACAGGAATTACATTATCTCCCTCAGATTTGATCCAGTACTACAATATCCAAAGCAGCTGGCAGCACTACTGATAGCAGAGGGACTGCTAGGGCTGAAGCCAAGGCTGCAGTTCATATCTGAGGAGAATCAGTCACTCCCAAGAAAGCTCAAGGCTGGAAAATTGTTACTGAACCTTTAGTGAGTTTTTGACACTGTCACACCTGTTTCCAACACCAAAAATACATCACCACAAAAACAACCTTGGCAACATCAGCAAAGGTAGTTTGGATGCTTACATTTGTATTGCAGTAGGCCCCTTCCTCCCCTCAGCAACACACAAATATGAAGACACCCTAAGCACCTCTCCTCTGCCCTCCCCCTGAACAGGACATGAGCTTTATAACACATACCCAGTTTTCCCCCTTAGTCCATGGAAACACAACAAGGACATTTTCTCACAATGCAGCAGTTTCTCTACAATCTGTACTGCCCAGCAAAAACCACCAGAGAAAGAGCAGAACTGAGCTTGCACCAACCAGTTGTGAACAAGCAACTCATTTGGTACACATCAAAGTGCTGGAGACACAGTCCCCCTTTCCATGCAGAAGTCTGCAGTCGCCAATGATGTACAGTCAGGCTTGACTAAGCAACTCCTGGATACAAACCCAAAAGCCAGCACCTTAAACTGGTATGATTACAGCTCCAAAGAACAAGAGATGCATTTACTAGAGCACTAGTAAAGCATTATCAAACCAGCTGTGCTGAAAACCACTTGAACATTAAGGGTCATACTTCCATCTCAATGCACTGACAAGCATGATTGAGAAATACAACCTTTGTAACCGGAGAAACTCCAGCATGGGTTACCGCAGCTCTGCTGCTTAAGGTTTTTCAAGCCAAGCTCTGCTTACATCAACTGAAGGGACAGAATTCTGTCAAAACTATACCTGCCATAATGGACACCCACCACCATAATTAATTAGTCCTTCTCCCATTACCTTGGCTTCTTCCACAGCTGGTATGCGTAAGGTGGATAGCAGAGTAAGGGAGCACAACCACGTCAGGAGCGACAGCTGAAACTGAGCCACAGCAAACGAAATTGCTGCATGTAACAAAATGACAGCAAAGCCCTTGATTCCCAGTAACAACCAGCAGGCAGCCATTCCATAAACCATCAAGCACCATGGTTTATACTGTTAAAGAAAAATGAACAAGTTTTAGTTTGATTATTTCTAAAGAAAAACAACCAACCACTCAATATCTGTGCTGTCCTACACGGGGTCAACAGTGGAAACAAATGCAGTCAACAAGGTTAAGAAGACATATAGAATCATAGTCAATTGGGTTGGAAAAGACCTTTAAGATCATCAAGTCCAACCATTGCCCAGCACTGCCAAGGCCACCGCTAACCCATGGCACCGAGGGCCTCGTGTGAATACTTCCAGGGACAGCGATTCCACCCCTTCCCTGGGAAGCCATACAGGGAAACCAACTGTATCCATAAGGGATGGGGATACCTGGAAGAGGTTTCTGTAACAGTGTGTATGAAATCCAGAGCCTCCCTGATGTGGGGGAGAACATAAGTTTCTCCTTCCCTTCCCCAAACTAGCAAGGAGACACCACATGCCAGTCATTTCCCACAATCATTTAGCAGTCATGCCAAAACCCAAGCAGTCACCACCTCACAGTCTTGGAAAGGAATAACTACAACCTTCTCTTGTGTAGAGGTCAAATGACACTGGTTAATGGTTCACAACAAAGCACAGGTTTTCATGGGCTGGAGGCTCAGGTCTCCAAACACTAAGGCAACACTCTCACCTGAACATTATCACAGACCCACTCACACAATTCACCCCACAGAACGAGATTTCACACACTCACTGGCCTCAGTGCCAAGTTTCCCATGCCCAGACTAAGCTGAAACCCACAGAAACCCCCTAGTGTGAAGAAAATCCTTACATACCTTCTCCATCAAGAGCCTGGAGACTTGTGATACCAGCAGGTGACCAGCCAGAAGCCACAGTATACGTTCCCTTCCCCATTCGATCCAGTAGCTCCACTCAAAGTCCATGGGGTCCTGGGGCACCAAGGGAACTGGTCACTAGGAGTATCTGGCCATAAAAGCATGTTCTTACAGGAAACATCTACACACTAGGTCCATTACCCTCCACCACAGACCTCCACATCTGCAGAATGTCACTTCAGCAATCCAATTGGATCATTTACAGCAGTGAGTTCTGACAGCACCATTTTGACTTCCAGTGGTGTGAAATGCAGAACAAGAGCTTCAGGTGGTGTCACAACTCCAAAGCCCCCCAGCTGGTGCTGAACCTGACCAGTAATCACTGCCTTTCCCCCAGAATGCCAGGGAGTTTTCTAACTACAAAGAGAGGCACCCCCAAACACACCTCCTCCCCAGGACATGGGGAACAGGCTAGTGACTGCACAGAGATGCAGGCTGCAACAAGGGTCCTCAGGGCTTCCAGTCCAGCATGGCCTCACTTTGGATCTCCATCAGGAAGCTTCTTAGGAAACAACAAATCAGTCTGCTACTACTGATCTGGGTCATCTCTTCAAACGCAACAAATCCACATCTCTGCTTGCCCCGATCCTTTTAATTTTAGGACTCTTTTTTTCCCCATGTAGAAACAAAAAAAAAAAGCCATTTTGGACTACACCAAACCCAGGCAAAGGTTAGCCAGGAATTTGTATTTTTTTTCAACTTGGCTGAAAAAAGCACCTTTGCTGGAAGAGGAGTTTCACTCCCTGTTTCAACAAAGCCCAGGTGGGATCAGATGAAGTCAGGTCAGCTGGAGAGTCCTGTGACATGGGGGTTTAATCCCAATTATGTAAGAGGGATCAGCTGGTAGCCGCCTGTCCTATACAAAGCCCCACTGAAAGTTCATCTCCACAACTGCTTTATGGCTTCCTTGAAAGCACATGTCAAGGGTCCTTTATCAGGGCCTGAACACCAAAGCATTTCCACAGATGTGCATTCCTGGACTTGTGTAAATCATTCTCAAAATTAGTTGCATGTATCAGCTGCACTTCAGAAGGATGTGAGGTCAAAAGCACAGGGAGGAGGTTGCTTTTTGGCTTGGGTGCCAATTTTCTTATTAGTTTGGGGTATTTTTTTAATACCATGTTTCTTTAAGCCTCAATAATCTGTTCTCCTCTATGCTGCACTACAGACCAACCAAGAAGAAAACGGGTGTTCACTGATCTTAAGCTGATGTTATCCAAACCACCCAGTGAGAGGAAAAAGGGGGAAAAGGCTGCAGGAAATCTCAAAGGGGATGATAGCTTTTAAGGCCAAACAGTAAACCAGAAGGTTATTAAGTAATTAACAAAGGAGAAACACTTGGTCCAGGGATGAAGAAACAAAACCTGGGTTATGATTCTCATATCTAGACACACCTGACAAGCTCCTCATTAGAAACTGACTAAAATTAACTATGAACATCCATATCTGCAGTTACTACAAACTCTGAAGCTAAATTAGAAGCTCAGGGGAGCAGAAGGCATGGAGACAGGCATTCACTTTACTGCCACAAAATAAAAGATGCTGTTACCTGTCACCCACCCTACCTTTTTGAGGCCCCGAAAGAGAGTCCCTGGTTCCAGCCCAAACTTTCTGTCCATCGCAGCCTCATACTCTGCAGAGAAGAATAAACCTTTGCTAAAGACACAGCAGCCAGAGCGGGGAGAATCATAGAATGGGTTGGGAAGGACCTCAAGATCATCCAGTTCCAACCCCTGCCATGGGCAGGGACACCTCGCACTACACTATGTCGCCCAAGGCTCTGCCTAATGTGACAGAGAGTCAGGGATGTGGAGCAGCACATTCCCACAAGGCCTTCACTGAAGCACATCACCATGCCACCACTCACCAGGTGAGCTGCCCAACCAAGCCATGGCTCTGCCCTGCAGCAAAGGCAAGGTCACCGAATTGCTCAGAGCTGTGCTTTGATTCCCCCTTGCAACAGGGGCAGCAGCTGAGAGTAATCAACCTCTTACCACATAGGATCTGCACTAATTCTCATTCCCCCTCTTCAAGGGCTACCTGGTTTCTCCCAGCAGAGCAGAAGGGGGACACAAACCTGACAGTGACCAGCACAGCAGAGCAGGGCAAAGCTGCTCTGAGAAGCCACCTCCAGAACCCCCTCCCATGCAGCCTGTTACCACCTCTGCAGAAGATGGGTGCAGAGCCCTGTACCTATCTACACAGCACTTCCCTCAGGGCCCTGCCTTTCCAGCTCTCCTATTCTTCCCTTAAGCTTTTCTGAGAGCCAGCTAAGGTCACTAATGTAGAACACCTTGCTGATTAAATCCTAACAGCATGCAATATCCATTTCCCTAACAAGCCTCTCTAACTAGCTATAATTTTATCAGATAATACCACCTGCGCTTCCCCTAAAATACCAGTGTGCTAGAACACAGCTTCTTTTCACCTACAAACTCTATGCAACTTGTTTAAACCCCCACCCTTCCTCCGCACAACGCAGCCCCACTGAACCACACGAAGCCACTGTAGCAGCTACCAAGAGGTTACTCAAGGCAGGTGTTTGGAAACAAACTGACCCCAAAGCTGCACAGACGTTGCTCCGAGCCCACCTCTTCCCTGACACCATTGGCAAGAGCCTCAGGACAAAGCTCTG